AAAAGACCAAGTCCTGAAGCCTTGTTGAAGTGCAGACTGCACAAGAATTGTGTGGCCGTAGAAGATGCTTTGCAGCCTCAATCCAGAATTGTGCGGCTGCAGAATCCAAGATCGTTCAACTAAAGAAATCAGCGGACCGCACATGGAATTGTGTGGCCACAGAACCTCCCGAGGGGCATTTGTTTCAGCGAATTTTGGGCCACTATAATTAGACGAGTTTCATATTTTTAGGTCAAGTTTCGAAGTTTGAGTTGCTATAGCCGTTACATTTTGCCATTTTAGGAAGTTTGTGATTATTTTAGTGTTACACATTATATTTTATCATTTTCATATTAGATTATGAGTTTAATTAACATTTCTTCTTTATTTTCTTCAACTCTCACTATGAGTAGCTAGATTCTTACTAGGGTTGTGACCCAACCCTAGTGTGTAAACCTTATGGGTATTTAATGTAATGCTTGTTTATGATTGAGTGTTGAATATTTAGCTTAGTTTATGCTTCAAGTTTAGAATTAATGGTTGCAAACATTGATTCATGCCTTTTGGTCTTAGTCCCTACATGAGAAAGAAGGACCTAATCTAGGATAACTTGGCTAACAAGGAATTGAGCTAATTGAGGATTTGATTAGCCTAATTAAAAGGTTCAAACTAGAGATAGTGAGAACCTGACTTGAGCTCATATCATCAATTTTGTTTGATACCCATTTGGACTTCAGAAGGCCAAATTGGGCAAAATGACTCTTTGACTGAGAGGTATTAAGTGGGTAGCGTAGAATTGAAAGCTATAATACACCCCAATCAACAAAATAAGTATTAACGTATTTAACCCATTAGGCGAATACCTAAGTTATGGTCACATCCTTAGGCTCTTTAATTACTTGGAAAAATACCAAAAACAATCATTCGTTTCTAGTTTCATTTCTTAGCTTATAATTGCTAGAGTAAAATTAGAATTAGAACTCAAAAACTTTTATGGAAGTGCAATCTAGCTATTTCTTTCGCTTTCGCCAAGTGTATACTCCTAACACCCCTAGTAACTCCCTGTGGAAATCGACCCCGACTCTTGTTGGGTACTATTCTTTAAACAACCATTTCCACTCACTATTGAGTGTGAATTGGACATGGATCAGAGCTTCGGGGGTTAAGTACTTAAGTGAATACTTGAACGGCCCAGTCATCCGCAACTGGAGGCAGATCCATCCGTTCTATTTGAATCCTTGACACGAACTTCTAAGAATATTGTTGTCTCTTTGCTTAACCTTGAAAAGGTCTAATTTTCTAGTCTCGGCCTTGATGGCCCCTGCAGGAGCCTTCACAAAAGCATTTGAGAGCATAGCAAACGAGTCAATGGAATTTGGGGGTAAGTTGTGATACCATATCATTTCTACTTTGGACAAAGTTTCCCCGAACTTCTTTAGTAACACCGACTCAATTTCATCATCTTCCAAGTCATTTCCTTTGATTGCGCATGGATAGGAGGTCATATGCTCATTCGGGTCAGTGCTTCCGTTATATTTTGGAATGTCGGGCATACGAAACCTCTTAGCGATCGGTTTTGGTGCTGCGCTCGGAGGAAAAGGCATTTGGATATACTTCTTGGAATCTGGCCCCTTCAATATTGGGGGTGCTCCTGGGATCTGGTCGACCCTGGAGTTGTATGTTTCCACCTTCTTGTCATTGGCCTCAATTTTCTTTTCACTTGATTACACCTGCTTTGTTAATGCTTCAAGCATTTTCATTACCTCGGGGCTCACTCTAGGCTCGGCTTCACCCGACCTCTCGGTAGTTTGTTTGTTTCTTCGGGTGTTATCCCGGGACCGTTCAGACTCGACCCTACCAGGGCCGTGGCCTTGATTCTGTAGCTACACTATCGCCACATGTTGAGCTTGCAACAGTTTGAAGATTAGTTGCATGCATACCCCATCACCTTTTCCCTCGGGCGTTTCTCGAACTGTTGGTTGGGGACTTTCGTGAACGTAGTTTTCGGGGTCAGTTGGCAGGTTGACGTCGATAGAAACCTGTGAATTAGCGTTGATCGGATCGGTAACTAAGACTCCATTGGGATCAGCAGGGGGAACCTCATTGCTAGTCACCATATTGTTGTTTTCGCCAGGATAGCTAGACTCAGCCTCAACGTTCAAGTGAGCAGACTGAGAATTTGACATTTTTAAGTTGTCCTGAAATTGAGACCTTAAAGAACAAGCATAAAATAGAGTGTGTTATGGATATTTGTATCAAACCACCACTATTATCCTTAGCCCCACGGTGGGCGCCAAACTGTTTACCCTTAAAATGGATAACAATTGAATGTATGTGTTATGTGGATTGATTCAATACAAATAATCAAGAATGTTAGATAAATGAGTTAAATATATAATGAATAACCAAACCAATTGTGATGTTACGGCCGGGCTCGGATTTGGGCTGAACAGTAATTTTGCCCTCGATCGGACCCTTGGTTCGAAGCCAAATGTATATGAAGAATAACAATAAAATAAGAACTTTTCAATAGCTAGAAAGCAGAAAAATGAATTTCTATTGCCTTGGTTTGCATGTTACTATGTATTTTATCAAAGAAAAAACTTTTCCTTTATATAGTATGAGAGTTTCACCCCTAGTATAATTCTAAAAAAGGTAAAAATCCTCCTCTCTCGTTAATTACTGATCTGTAACCGTCATCGAGCGAGATCTGCACAGTGATATCCGGTTGGTTTCGGATATCACGACCCTCTATCTGTCGCCTACAACCGTTCACGCGCTTCTCGAAGTCTCATAACTCATCTCGCATCCGGGGTGCGTCATTTTATGAAGTCCGATGGAGAGCACTCCGTTCGGGCCTTGGTACAAGAAGTTCCTAGCTTCGATTTCAATCCCATGTATTCATACCCTTGCTTCGTTTGACCCACCGAAAAATCGAGGTGTGTGTTAGCCCCGATTTTACCCTTATATAGGTATACAAGATTAGGGTGCATCATTTTATAGATATCAAGTGATGATTTCATCGTGGATAGTAAAAGTACAGAATATACTATTTTCGGAGTTCAGAACCAAAGTATGTTTTGTTTGGACTCAAAGTACAAAAATAGGTGAAAAAACTAACTGATGACCAATTTATATATAACGCATAGGTTGAATACGCTATACCTTAAGGTATAACGCATGCAACCTATGCGCTATATTTAAATTTTAAAATGGCGGTCAAAATATGAGTATAGCGCATATACGGGATANATCAAATCAAGTCCGATTGACCTCAAATTTTGCACACAAGTCATAAATGATATAACAGACCTATGAAAATTTTCAGAACTGGATTCCAACCCCGATATCAAAAAGCCAACTCCCCGGTCAAACTTCCAACTTAAACTTCCTATTTTCGCCATTTCAAGCCCAATTCCACTATAGACTTTCAAATAATTTTTCGGACACGCTCCTAAGTCCAAAATCACCATACGGAGCTATCAGAACCGATAAAACTCCATTCCGGAGTCGTCTTCACAAAGTTCTGACTACGGTAAAAATTCAAAGATTTAAGCTTCCGTTTTAGGGACTAAGTGTCCCAAATCACTTCGGATCATTCGGTAACTTAATTCAACCACGCACGCAGGTCAATACACATAATACGAAGCTGCGCAGGGCCTTATGCCGCCGAACGAGACTTAAATTCTCAAAACAATCGACTGGGTCGTTACAAAAAGTCATGTGGCATTTTGTGCTTCGTGCGTTTTGTCATGTCATTGTGCGTCCAGTTCACGCGGCTGAACTTACTTAAGCATATTATATGAGGTATTTAATAGACACATTATTATTGGAGTTGGAGTGATCAATATGTATTGACTTAAGTTGAGATGTTAAAATGGAAGTTGGAGCCAAGTTTAAGGGCCGTATAGGTATTTGGCCTTGAAAAAAACAATATAACTTCTCAAATTTTAAGATCACATAAAATGGTACATAGGAGGCTCCTGTTCATCATGTCACCTTGAGGATCCACGTATGCACATTCTAGCCACCCAAAACGAAAGCTGGGCTATTTCCACTTTAGAACGCAGTAAACCACTTGCCCCTATTTTATCCAAAAAATTCCCGCCAGGTCATGTGTCTATTTTTTTAGAATGTATAGAGTTGCACTTTGATGTAATTTGGGAATAAGATGTTAAGCAAGCGCTTGGACATAAAAATTAAAATTTTTGAAAAAAATTATATTCGGAACTAAGTTGAAACATAATATTTAGAATTTGAAATTATGTTTGGTCATGCATTTCAATTTTGTGAGTGGGAAAAAAAATACTGAAAATTTTGAAAATTTAGTTTTTGAAAAATTCGTTTTCGAAATATTTTTAAAAAACTTGCAAAATTTCATGGACATACACAGTTTAGAAAAAAAATTTCAAAGAACGGGTCCTGAGTCCGGTATATTATTAACTGTTTTGGTACTTTTGAACTTAATTTTTAAGAAATAATCAAAAGGATAATGGTAAATCGAATCCTAATAATATTAATTTTTTGATACGTAAATGAGGTGTCACTATTACCCAATTATTAGCAAGAACTCCTTAATTTCCAATTAATTTACTGATAATTTAATTTTCGTGATGCATGTTACAAGATAATCTCTCTTAATTCTCATGATAATATTAATATTTTAAAAATTAAATAATATCCGTAGAATATTTCAAAAAAAATAATATTAACATTGTTACTTATAAAAAATACAATTTATTTCACTTCAATGTAATTTCTAGTATATAAAAGATATCTTTCCAAAATATCTATAAAGTTAATTTGTGAATTTAAATCGACAATTAGATATTTTATTTTTACTTGAACATAATCATTGTGGAGGTTTGTGAAAAAATATAGTATTGTGGAGGGAGGGAATATTATCCCATTATTATAATTGGTACGCCAACTTAATCTAACTACGTGTCCGTGTACCATTGGACACCATTTATACATTATTGGAGCGCGGAGCATCTAATTCTGCCTCGCTAGTGAAGTTGTGGACCGAACCTTCTTTACTCTTTTAGCGATAACTCAAGTTTCCATTGGGGGAACTGTCAAAGCATTCAGCGATGGCAGCAATGGCTTCCACCACCTCAACTTCAAGGGTTCCTTATCCTTTGCCATTATCTCCGGCTCGTTGTTCACTTATATCCTCCGTTAATACAACGTGCTCATTCACTTCTTCTTCTTCTTTGGTTTGCAAGAAGCTCTGGTTATCTAACGGAACTCGAGGGAAGCCAGGATTTAGAACTTCTTCTTCTTCTTCGACGACGACGTTGAGGATAAGGTGTGGTGGCTTAAGGGAGATAAAGGAGGACGAGTTCTCCGACGTCGTTTTGAAGTCTGATCGTCCCGTCCTTGTGGAGTTCGTTGCCACTTGGTGTGGGCCCTGCCGCTTGATTGGTCCTGCTATGGAATCCGTTGCTGAGGTTCTTCTTATTCGTTTTTACCTCTTTATTTATGTAGTGTTATTGGAATTATATTGCATTAAAGCTTCAATTTCCCCCTTGTCAATTTCTTTCTTCACTGAGCCTGTTAAACTGATAAATGTGTGTTTGGTATGATGGAAAATATTAATTTTTGGCTCAAAAATCATTTGTGGTACTTTCTTAACTTGAATTGTTGAAATGTTTTGTTCAAGACGAAATATGGAAAATTATTAAGTGCTCCCTCGGTTCCAATTTATGTGATGCACTTTGACGGAGCATAGAGTTTAAGAAAGAAATTAAACTTTTGAAACTTGTGTTCTAAAACAAGTCATAGATATTTATGTGACTATAAACCGTCTCATTAAGGATAAATGGAGAGTATAAAGTGAAATTGTTTCGAAATATAGAAAGATATCACTCTTTTTCGACAGACTAAAAACGAAAATGCATCACATTAATTGGTGCGGGGGAAGTATTATATATGATGATGATGGTGTCTGGGCTAGCTTGCACGCACCTCGACTATTCTACTGTGTATATGCTACCTCACACTAGAACAAGTACCGTTAACTCTGTCCACCAAGGCTTATACTAATGGGAAAAAATTACCGTAGTGTTTTTTTTTTACTCTGTTGGGTTTTGAACCTAAGACCTCCTCATGGTTCTCCTCCTACTTCATTGAACACTGGACCACACCCTTGGATGCGAAATATAAAAATTTATCTCCCAGGAAAAAACATTTTTCACAGAAAATCCTCCACCAAACAGTCTCATGAGTAGTAGGTCACATGTATAAATGTGATAGTTGCACATGTATTTTTGTCAAATGCTGAGATGAATTGGATTAAGCGCTATTGGTAAATATTAAGCAAATTCAGCATTCTGCCGCAGCAAACAAATCCTAGGACTTAATTTTAGCCTCAATATTGGACTACTTTGTCTATTAGGGTTTTAAAGGTTTTTAATTTTTAATCTCAAGCATTGAGTACAAGGTATCTGAATCATTTGCTTTGTGCCCTTTCCTTTGATACCTCATGTAGTATAATTCAATGAAATGTTAGATTTTCACTGAAATAACTACTATGATCATGCCCTTTTTCTTGTATCTATAGAGAAGAAACTTGGTTTTATATGTTTTGCTTCCTTACACATTATTACTTGTATCATTTTAGATCATTACCAATACGAAAAGCAAAGATTAAGTCGCAAAGATTAAGTCAATCTTTGGCAACTCTTCGTCAATTTGCTAAAGCAAACGAAAAAAGACATTCCAAGCTATGATGTCTCTAGTGCAGCGTCCAAAAGCCTTTAAGCCAGAAAGCACCATGGGACAACTCTGTAGCTTAAAATAGAGCTTCGACATATGTAAGAATTGAGAAATTTTCATGATGGATCCAATGAGTGAGGGCTTCTTTTCATATAAATACTTTAGCATAATGACATTGTAACTTCTCGTGTTGATCTAGAATCATTAAGCAATTCCATAGGTGAGGTGATTAGGCAGGACATGGCTTTGCTCCAACTTACCGAGGACATGACCCTCGATAGAAAGGTGTGGAGGTCGAAAATTAGGGTGGTGGGTTGATAGACAGTCTAGAGTTTGCCTTGTCTTACTAGTAGTAGTTTTACTAGTCGGGTACCTTCCTATTCCTAGTCCCTTGTTTATATACGGTATGTCAGTATTAGCAGTGAGATTGGCACTAATCTTGTTTCATTTCCTTGGATCTCTGTCATTATCCGTTGTATTATTTGCTTACACTGTCTTATTACATTGTTGTTGCTATTGTTTCTCTATTGCTCCATTTTATTTTTTTTTATTTTTTTTACGTTCTTGAGCCAAGGGTCTTTCGGAAACGGCCTCTCTACCTTCATAGGTAGGGGTAAGGTCTGCGTACACACTACCCTCCTCCCAGACCCCACTTGTGAAATTCCACTGGGTTGTTGTTGTTGTTGTTGCTTTCCCCTGACACTGTGTTTCCTTTTCTCTTAACTGTCAGGAGTATAAAGAAAAGATCACTGTTGTTAAGATAGATCATGATGCAAATCCCAAGCTCATAGAAGAGTTCAAAGTTTATGGATTGCCAACTTTGATTCTCTTCAAAGATGGAAAGGAAGTTCCAGATAGTAAAAGGGAAGGTGCGATAACAAAAGTTAAACTCAAGGAGTATCTTGATGGACTTCTAAAGACAGTTTCTATCGCATAGTATTTGGGCAAAAGTTTAGCGGTCCTGGTATCTTCATCACTTTATGATGGGATGCACTTTTTGTCTGGTCAATGTTAGTATCCTGAAATTGCCTGTAATTTTATTTGCTTCCTTGATTGGCCAAGAGTAGCGGGGATGCATTGTATATTTTAGTTGTCTGTGGGCGATGACCTGTTTTGTATTTGTATATTTGAGCTGTCTATAAGATAAAAATAATTGTGTTTTTCAAAGTTATGTAATTTGGTTTAATTTGAAGAGCATCATCGATTTTATGCCTGTCTTTTTCTGCACATGCTAGAAGCAGTTGACTCTTAACTTCACTTTTTTTTTTCCATTTCGGGCTTGTCTTTGGCATTGCAGATATGTATCTTTCCTTTACTCATTAGCATAACTATCAGATGTCAGTGCGAGGAGCGTTTCTCTGGTAAATATTTAGAAAGTTTCAAGTGGCTTTATACATTTTCTCTGTGGATTGATTCTGATTCGCTATGACGGTACCGTGTTAGAAGTTACAGTAATCTGCTGCTCCTTGTTACTCATTCAGAAGCCTTGAGTGCTAGGTCTATACCCCGTTAGAAGTTAATGATCTGTCACTCCTTCTTACTTGCACAATCTATGCAGGCACCAGCAAGCTAGCTTTATACAGTAAAATTGGAGTATTACATTGCATCTGATTACTCTTGTACAAGCTCATTGAGTTTCCAATCACACTAAGGTAATGTATGCTCAAGGGTATTTTCATGAGTAAACTCGCTGTAACCTTTCTCTGCTTCACTGGTTCACTGTCCGGAAGCTTCATGAGGAAATGAATTTCTTCCAGTGTAACTCGATCTTTGAAGATTACATTCTGTGCTGAGACATGGATTCTAATTATATGGACACATGATTTTTGAGTATGAAAGGACATTTGCAGAAGTGATGCAGATGTTCTGCACACGGGGCAAGTTCATCTTTTATGCCTTTTAGGCACCATACTTAGAGGTACAAATAGCAGTTAACGACCAATCTGTGGATCTTGCTTCTTGATATGTCAAAGTTCAACTTAAGAATTGTAGGATCATCCACTTGATTTACCTGCATTTTAAGAAAATGAGGACCATTCAGTTACTTCTGACTGGGGCATGGTATCTTGCAGCTGGCAGCTAATAATACGAAGAAAGTTGGTGATATCGAAGTTATAGTAGTTCTCATCTGTCTATTCTAGGAACTGAGCTTTTGCCAGATGACTCTCAATTTACAACCTTTTGTCACTTCCTCTGTTGTTAAACAGTTTCAGAAGCTGCATTATTTGCAACAATTAAGGGTCAGTTACCACTTCTTGGCATAGTTGGGCTTAACAGGGGACTTTTGTGAACATCGCCCTGAACATGCTCTCTAGAAGTCTAGTTGTCCTTTTCCCCCTAACAATAGTTTTGATATGTCTTTCATCAAAACAGTTTTGATGGAAGTTTAATTTTCTCTCTAGTACTTATCCATTTTGCAATTGATTTTTCCCTTGTTTTCTTCCCCTTTGCCTTGTACAGATCCTATTTTATTACCTGTCTTAGTTGTCCATCCTTGTTGCCTAGAATAAAATGAAGTCAATTATAAAAGAAATTGCCTCAACTAGAAACATCAACTTATCATTAGACTACAAAAGTGGAACACAAAGGTAATATTGTATCCCCTCTTTTAGTATCATTAGAAGGTTGGCCTATTGGTCATCAGCTACGGATTCCTATTTTACTTGAGCCAAGATTCTATTTAAAAAAGCCATGACCTATTCCGCTGCTGCTGATGAAATTATCTTGTGGTCCAGAATCATAGAATTGAGTGCAGTATATCCCTATCCTGGTAATTTGCATATGGATTTTATTCGAAGCTTGAATGGTTTTAGAGAGTTTTGAGGTTTTCCTATTTGGGATTGTGTCAAGTCTAATTCATCCTTACCGCTAAAAAACCACAATAAAAACTATTCTTGTGAGGTGTCAATATTCAGTTGTTCCATAAGCCCTATTCACTCTTTAGATGATACACGAATGACTCTTAATCGGAGCCTATCAGCCCCATCTTCGGAAAAAAGAAAGATATGCAGCTTGTTTGCGGCTTTTAAAAGGATATTTTCTTTCTTCTCTACCTGCTTGTCAATAACCCCTGTCTCTGTGATTCTATGTGGAAATAACTCACGCATCCGATTGGCGAAAAGTTTCAGGACCAACTTCTCGTTTGGATCTATAGGCTTTTACTAAAATGCCACATGAAAAGTGGTGCTGGTGTCAATTGCTTAGGTGCTAGATTGGTAGAGTTGTTGATGTCCTTTGGCAATATTGTTCAACCATTTTGTGGTGTTTCTTTTCTGTAACTATCTGAATGAACAGAATCTATTGATCTCCGATGAAGGCCGGTGGACATCAATTACTTTCTCACTCTAGTGTATGGTTCTTTATGGACTAGCCAAATGAGTGAATGTGAAGGCAATTGGTACCCTTGCTTAATTAGCTAACTGTTGATGCTATGACAGGATAAGTTTGTGCCCAAAGTTTGTGGAGCATCATTTCACAAGCACTTATTGTCAAAGCTGAAGGGTGAGAGGGTCTTTTACAGGACTAGGAGATTTCAGGATACTGGACGAGATGGGGACACTTTACACATTTTGATCATGCAACCATGATCAGTTGAAGAGATTCGATAGAGGACAGTTGTTATTTCAAATGATTTTGTGGTCGAACCTAGACAAGGATTTCTGTTTGGATTTATGGAGATTTTTATGTTGTATGTCTGGTCGGGTCTCTTTGTAACTTTTTTAGTCCAATTCTTAACCTGGTCCCCACTCCCCTTTTCCTCTCTCTCACGTGCCATCTTTGTTTCTATTTTGATGCTTGATCTTGAATTTTTTGTGCGTCACGAACAACTTGATGATCGCCACGGATCAAGATTAGAGATTCAGCTATCATAAACAGAAAGATCACAAATATAGAGGATGACTTTGATTGCTTTTCTTTAGAGCTTCTCTACCGTTCCTTCTGGTGGCTTGATGTCTTTATGTTCGTCCTCATTATATAATCGTAGAATAGAAGAATTGTGATAAAGACAAAGGCATTTGCTTTGATATGATTGGTCTGTTGAAATTACAAACCAATGTGATACGCTTCCATTTGATTGGCCAAAGTGTATCATTTTATATGGTGTTATATTGAAAAGTTGACTTGACTTGGCATGCCATGTAGCTGATGGCATGATCTCATTGCCCACTTTTTTTGATTTGGGGCCTACGTAATTTGATATATCCGTCCGTATTTTACTATTTTTCATATCCTTGTGCACTTTGTTGATAATTTATGAACTCATATCCAGTGATAAAAACTTTGATATTATTGTTTGCGCGCAATTTTGTGGTACATGTAAACATGTTGAGCGGATTGTTTGGGTATTGGCACGAGGTCTTTGCCATGCGAGTGTGATTATATTATGTCACGAGGTCTTTACCGTGCGAGTGTGATTATATTGTGGTACGAGGTCTTTGCCGTGCGAGCACGAGGTCTTTGCCGTGCGAGTGTGATTAATATTGGCACGAGGTCTTTGCCGTGCAAGTGTGATTGGTATTGTGGCACGAGGTCTTTGTCGTGCGAGTGTGACTGATAATATGGGTACGAGGTGCCATATGTGTGTATTTCTATTTAATGACTTGTTGTTGAAGCTGAATTGCTTCTTGTATTTAATTGTTATCACTTGTTTCGATGAGATTATTGTTATTGTTTTTGTTATACTTTATGTTTCCAGTCTTTGATTTATTGCACAAGTTATTTTGACTAGTGAGTATCATATGACTTGAAGCTCGTCATTACTTCAACGAGGTTAGTATTGATACTTACTAGTTACCGGTCGTGGTGTACTCATACTACACTTCTGTATATTTTTGTGCAGATCTAGGTGTTGGAGGTAGCGGATCTTGGCAGTGAGAGTGTCATTGACCGTGAGGATTCACGGTAGCTGCATTGACCGTTGCAGCCCTTTGGAGTCCTATCCTTATATTGATATTGTCATTCTTATATCCGAACAATATTGTATATTTGAGATATTCATATGTATTCAGTTAGAGCTCGTGACTCTCTACTGCCTAGTTTTGGGGAGTTATGTTGAGTATTGCCACTTTGGCTTGTATTGATTCTATTTACGTTTTTATATTAAACTCTGCTTTATTATATTATTTTTTATTGATTTAAATGATGTTAAGTGATCGGCTTATCTAGTTTTAGAGATTAGGTGTCATCACGACTCTTGTGGTGGGATTTAGGTCGTGACGTTATTCTTACGTTTATAATTATAAAGCTCAAGAAGGTATTTATAAGAATGGATTAGAGTTTGTTCTTTTATTAAGTTGGCTAATAGAATCAGCAATCAACAATTTCTTTTACCACGCTTTTTTCTTTAACTATTATTTTTTATATCTCAAATAATATTTTTAATAAGTAAATTTATGTTTTTTTCTTTAAAATAAGTTTGCACTTATTGAACTGTTGTACACGCGCATAGAGACTAGTACATCAAAATAAATGATAATCGGTGTATCATCTTCTAGAATAATTATTAGAATAACAAAATATAAATCTACATATTTATTACTCACATAGTATCCATAAATCCATCATTTGCGAACCGAATTGGAGGGGGGCCATGAAAGCATCAAGATTCAACGTTTTTCGCATAAACACCTAGTACATCTTCTTAACCAGACATCGTTCGTTGCTAGACCTTACAAGTTTGAAGGAGAAGAACTGGTGGTGAAAGCCTAGCATTCTAAGTTTTATGAATAATGGTGAGAATAGGGGAGAAGTAGCAAATTTATGTTAAAACTGGCACATATAGTGCATGGAGCGTATGCGCTATATGCCCTTGGACAAAGCTAACAGGCGTTCGGCTGGTCGTTAGCCCAGACACATATAGAGCATATATCCCATGCGCTATATGCAGTTTGGTTCTATATATTTTTTTCATGTTATTTTGATTCTACAAGTTGCATTTTACGTTCCTTTAATTTCAGACTCTGATCTGATCTACAAAGGCGAGAACAGAATCAAAATAACACAAAAAATAATTTGAAGAACCAAAATAGTATGTAAGAAATGAAAACACAAGTACGTATAGGGCAAGTGTTGCATGCACTATGTATGTTTGGAATCATGGACAAGGTTAACGGACGTTGTGAGTGCAGTGATACATAACGCATGTATAACATGCGTTATGCAGTAAGGGGTCGTTTGGTAGCCGGTTAGAGAGAAATTATCCATATATTAACACTAGGATAACTTTATACATTGTTTGGTTAAAAGAAGGGGGAAAAAATAACTCCACATAGAAACTAGCATAAATTATACAATGTTTGATTATTTTTTTCCTCTTTTTCACAAAAAAATATAACATTATTAATACAATGTTTGGTTCATATTTTTTTTTTTCCGCATAACTAATACATGTATAAGTTATGAGGGAATTTATGTATTATTTATGCAGGATATAAGGTGGAATAACTTATACATGTATTAAGAATACTTGTATTAAAATACAAAATGACAAGAATACTCTTTATTCAAGCTTGTATTTTTTTTGTTTAAAAATATATATTTAAACTATACTAACAATTTTAATAAAATAAAGTAAGCTAATAATAAATAACACTCACATTACATTTATATTACTAATCCCTGCATAACTAATCCATACATAACTAATCCCAACATAACTCAACCCTTGCATAACTTATCCCTACATAACTAATACATGCATAATTAATCACTGTATTACTTATTCCTGCATAACTCTAACCGGCAACCAAACGACTCCTAAGTGTTGTTAAGTAAATTATGAAGCACCTAAAGAACCAAAATGTTGGTTGGCTCTTCCGGGGGAAAAATTCAAAAATAACCAGATTTATAAGTGGTAATTGAAAAATAGCCACAGTTTAAAAAATAATCAAAATTTAGCCACTTTTAATGTAAAGATAAATCTGAACGAAAACACTGTTCAAAATCCGAAAAATATTCCAGCATAATATACTGGAGTTCCAGTATAATATACCGGTCCAGCATAATATGTTGGAAGTTCATACACAGATGCACCAATCTCCAGTATATTATGCTGGACCGGTCCGTGTTGCAGCAAAATAGTGACTATTTTTCAATGACTTTGCAAACGCTGACTATTTTTGAATTATCAGTCCGAAAACTGGCTAGCCGGTGCTTTTTTTCCGGTTAGGTGGGTGGTAGAATAGTGCCCATGACCTCCCGTGCCTGACACTCCATTATTTTCTTCAGTTTTCACTTTTTACTCAAATCTGTATGTCAATTGGTTGAATGGTTGGTGGTAAGGGAGTCTTGGGCCCTAACGTCGCGAGTTTGACTCCCATCTCCAACCAAAAACTTTTTTTTTTTCAATTTGCTTATGTTATAAAAAATAATAAAATTATTTAATTTTGAACTCTCTGATGATGTTCATATTTCAGTATGCTTTTTTTCTTTTCTTTTCGCTCATATTTCATTAACTAAAATTTTAATAACGCTATTTTGTTGAGAATCAATTGAAATTTCCAAAAACTTATTTTTTTTCAATTTGCTTATGTTATAAAAGATAATAAAATTATTTAATTTTGAACTCTCTGATGATGTTCATATTTCAGTATGCTTTTCTTTTCTTTTTTTTTTTTTCATTTCTTTTCGCTCATATTTCATTAACTAAAATTTTAATAAAGCTATTTTGTTGAGAATCAATTGAAATTTTCAAAAACTTATTTTTTTTTCAATTTGCTTATGTTATAAAATATAATAAAATTATTTAATTTTGAACTCTCCAATGATGTGTGGAGGTGTGGAGGTCGAGCATTAAGGTTGTAGGTTATGAGGTAGTTAAGCATTTTTCTACTTCGTACCGGGTGAGAGGCTAGTCTGATAGGGTTTGTCTTAGACTGCCAGCGGTTAATGTTGTGTTCGCACTATTCTTCTATTTTTCATAGCACCGGGCCTTCTTTACTGGTTATTGTTATTGCGTTTCATCTATTTTTTGGTTCTTATGATACTATTATTATTTCTATGGTTTCTGTTGATGGTATTGATATATTTTCTCTTTTCCCCTTTTTCGTTTTCTTGAGCCGAAGGTATATTGGAAACTTCTCTACTCCATCCGGGTAGGGGTAAGGTCTGCGCACACACTACCATCCCTAGACCTTGCAACCGTGAAATTTTACTGGATGATTGTTGTTGTTGAACTCTCCAATGATGTTCATATTTAATTATTTAAATTTTTTAATAAAACTAATACAATATTAATAAAGGTGAAATGTGTCGAACAATTATATATGTAGTTGAGTTCTATAGATAGCTAGTGGAGTCCTATTTTCTACTTAAAGTACTATTAATAATTAGAATAGTCATATGGTTTGGCTCTAGATTAATTTTATTACGTTAGAGATCAAAGGCGTTTTCAGTATTTGTATTTTAATTTGAATAATGGAGTATATAGTGTTTATGCCTATTATCGTAGAAGCTATTCCTTTGAAATTTTTTGGGGCTCAGGTATCCAATTACTAATCCCAAAGATCACGAAAGCTTAAGCAAAAATAAAAGAGCAGGCTGAGGGAAAGTCACTAAATTGAGGGCCTCACCCGCTTGCTCTAAGCTCTTTTAGTAGATATGTCTAACAATTCTTTCACAAAGTGGTGATGAAATGCATGACTAATGTAACGTTTGTTATTTACCAAAGTTGACCATCCATTTCAACTGTGTCGCAAAATTCTTCTTTTAAACCAATGTTTTAAAAGAAGCGACCGAGCGAGATTTTAGCTGATATGGGGCTA